TTATTAACCAACATCTATTTATTTATATAAGGTTTGCACATCTGTAAGTGGATATTGACAATGTAACTTTTTTTTTTCAAAGAAAATCCATTAACTACATCTGTCCTTTGAGACACATAAAGCAAATCATAAGGTGTTAAATGCACATCTCTATAAGTCGTGGGCCGAAAGTAAACCCTCACCATACCATAAGCTGAAAAAGTGCAATTCGGCTTTCCCTTTGTTTTTCCCCTCTCATTAAACGTAGCTATCAGGGGATTCTACAAGTTGTGATGGTAAAATCGAAAATACGGAATAATCCAATGGCAATTACAAACTAGCACTCCTTACTTTCCACGCAGCTCTATACTGGCCCCCCATCCCCGTGTTAACCTGCTAGCCCCGGTCACCACGCGGCCTTCGTTTCTTTCTCTCCTCAATTACAATTTTTTTAAATTAATTTTTTGATATTTAAAAATTATATTTAATTTAATTAATTTACAATTAAATCACATCAAATTTTATATAAATTTTTTTAATATAAATTTTTTTATTTATAAAATTTAAATTCAAGATACATCTCATTTTACAATTGATTATTCAAATCAATTGACAGTTTATCAATTTGACAACTTGTTAAAATATATATATATATATATATATATCCCATTTTAAATATAGGAACTAGCACTCTTTACTTTCCACGCCGCGCTATCCTCCCCCATTCCCGTGTCAACCTGCTAACCCCGGTCACCACGCGGCGCTCGTTTCTTTCCCTCCCCAATCCCCGCATTTATTCTTCCTCCCTCCCTCCCCCTCCAGAACCCACGCTCAATATTAAACAATTCCACTCTCCACGACGCTGGAACTACGAACAATTAACATGCTGCCTCCGTCCCCCGCCCCGTAACCGGAAAGCAACACCACTTCGCCTGCAAATTCCATGAATTTCAACTCCGTTAATATGTTTTCCCGCTTTACCCCTTTCCTCCCTTTCCATTTCCCAATCTGCTCCTCCCTTTCGCTCCCCAAAACCCTCGTCGGCGCCAATCACACCTCCGCCCGCTTCTGCTCTCGTTAGCTGTTCCCCGATATCCCGCGGTTTAAAAGTTCCAGGATTTTTCCCTCTTTTTTTTTTTTTTTTTCTGAAAACAAACTATTTCAAACACAGATACAGGAAACCAAAAAGATTCAGTGCGTAGATACTGCCATGGAGCCTGCCGTGGGGAAGCCGAGCTTCTTCCGGAATATTATGGTGCGGGTGCTTTTGTTTGGTGTTTTCATCATTGTCGTCCGTTTTGCCTACATCGTCACTATCACCGGCGAGTCATGCAATCGGGGCGACTTTTGCTTTTTCTCCTTGCCGGAGAATCTCAATTTTGTCATCGCCGGTGCTGGTCCCGGCGCCTCCGCTATCGTCGGGAGCGACTCTGTTTCCCGATCTAATCCTCGTCGCGATCTCTACACATCCAAAGATTGGATCAAGGCTGTCAACTTCTTCTCTTCCGTTTTTCAAGATCTGATGTCCGAGGGATACCTCTTGCCGAATTCGAAGTCACTCTGTGTGGAGACGCCCGGCGGACAAGAGGTTTTCGCTTTGAAAGAGATTGGCGTGGGGGATTCGATCGGGATTTTCAAAAAAGCGTCGAAGCCCCTGGTGATTTCCGGCGAGGGGCATCGAATACCTTTCCGTAACAATACATTTGACTTCATATTCTCTGGCGGGGCCCGCTTTGACAAATCCGTCCGGTCGTCGGCATTCGCATCCGAGATCACACGGACGCTGAAACCCGAAGGGTTTCTGGTGTTCCACGTCAAAGCTAAAGATACGTATAGTTTCAATTCTTTCCTTGGTTTATTTGATTCTTGTGAATTAGAGAAAATGCGTCATATTGATGGCTTCGATTCATCGCTGCCTTACATTAGAGAAATTATAATGAAGAAGAAGAGTGAAATTCTTGGCCATGGGGATAAGATTTCCGGTGGCGACTCTGGTAATGAGTGCTCCATTCAGGAGCATAAACGTGATCTGATCCGGAATGCGGAGCCACTGATTACAGATGAGCCCTTAAAGCCGTGGATTACTTTGAAAAGGAACATACAGAACATAAAGTATTTGCCATCAATGGTTGATATAAGTTTCAGGGGTAGATATGTATATGTTGATGTTGGAGCTAGGAGCTATGGTTCTAGCATAGGGAGTTGGTTCAGGAAGAAGTACCCAAAACAGAACCGAACTTTTGATGTGTATGCTATTGAAGCTGATAGAACTTTTAATGAAGAGTATAGGTTGAAGAAAAAGGTTACATTGCTGCCTTATGCGGCTTGGATAAGGAATGAGACACTGTCTTTTGAGGTTAATCATGATCCGAACCATCCGGGGCTGGAAGATGTGAAGGATAAAGGCAGAGGGATGGGAAGGATTCAACCAAAGAAGTCATCTGGAAACGTAGTTGATGGAGAGGTGGATGAGATTCAGGGGTTTGATTTTGCTGAGTGGTTAAAGAAGACAGTTACAGAGAAGGACTTTGTGGTGATGAAGATGGATGTTGAAGGAACTGAATTTGATTTGATACCGAGGTTGTTTGAAACTGGAGCCATATGTTTGATTGATGAGATCTTCCTTGAATGCCATTACAATAGGTGGCAGAGGTGTTGCCCTGGTCAGAGGAGTACAAAATATGAGAAAACTTATGGCCAGTGCCTGGACCTGTTTACTTCCCTCAGAGAAAGTGGAGTTCTTGTTCATCAATGGTGGTGACTGGTGCCCCATTATTCATATTCTGTAATTGTTATTTATTTGTTCTTAAAACTCAATAGGTTTTTTCTTTCTTTCCAAAATTTACATCCAATTCTCATAGGATAAATATGTAGTTAGTTACTTTATTGTTTTCATTTTCCTTTTGATTGTAAGAGATGTTAATTGCAAATAAAAGTTGATAGTTGATACTCAAGTGTTGTTTCTCCATACCTTGTTGTTGTCTACCGTGATTATTGAATTATAAGTCTCTATTTTGCAGTCCAATTCAGTTTGAACTGTAAAATAAAAACCATTAAATAAATGGGAGTTTTGTTTTTCCATTCCTTTTTGTCGTCTACCGTGATTATTGAACTATGAGTCTCTATTTTTGCAGTTTAATCTAGTTTGAACTGCAAAACAGAAACCATTAGATAAAGGGATAGTCTCAATGTTAGGGGTTACCTTGTGTAGTCCAATGCTATCTGAATTGCATGATATTTTTTTGTTTCTTCGGTTGAATTAAAGTGGTGGGTTAGGGATAAGATTCAAACCCTGATCATTTGGCTGGGCCACCCCTTGCGTTAGCCGCGGTCGAAACTTGGGTTTTATCAATTATGTAATTGAGTTGTAAAGCATAATATTTTGTGGGGTTCCTGCAACTAATTTGTAAAACAGAGCATGTGATTCTTCACTAAATTGAAAGGACCAAAAGTGGGGTCAAGGGTGTGTTCCTTCTACGTATTCCATGTGGTAGCCTGAGATTGTAGCCTCTGGTTCAAAATGCATTCCCATCCGGGTCCGGCCATGATTGGTTCTTTTGACTTTTGTTGTCGTCTCGTCTATATTGCGCTTTCAACCGATCGACATCCCATTTTGTGCAGAATCTTTCTGGTTCACTCTCTGCGCAGCACTATGAATGGACAACTTTTGTTTTCTACTCTTGGCTAAGAAAATTTCTATTATGCAATTATGATACACTTGATTTAAACAAAATAATTAAGTTGATATGTTATCCTCGATCGCCTGAGCTTTGCTTGTTGTATATGCTTTTAATGAAGTGTTAAATTGTTATTAACTCATAATACAACTTTAAGATTTCATAATTAATACATGTAAGTTTTTATATAGAGAACAAAATACAAAATGTACATAAATTAAAACACAATATACAACCTAAGAAAAACCCAAAAACCTCAAAATGACGCTAAAATTTATTTATGAATTTCTTGTATTGATAATTTTTAAGGGTCATAGAATATATTTTTGAATATCATATTAAGCCCACCTCCTGGGTTTGATTAACTCTTCTCCTCATCTCAAACCAAATATATTATAAAAAAGTTGCACCATACTAAAATAAAGAAATTGATTAATAATTAAGAGAATTAAGAGGAGAAGATATAGTGTCTCTAAATTTTGAGAGACATAAGTAGTTAAGTTATAGAATACTGGTACTAGAGACGACGAGAGGAGCGCACCGCCTTCTATTCTTAAAATTCCGAAGCGTTTGCTGCGTTGCGTTGCATGGGGTGAATCCTGGTGGTGTTGTCCGTTTAATTAAGCACTTGTATTTGTTTGTTTGTTTATCTTAGGCTTTAGTATATTTATAGAAATTATGACCTTCAATTCTCCTCCTTTGGCTCTCCATGCACCTGAGCCTTCTGGGTCACCCCCTCTCCATTTCCAGGCTTGATTTGCCCGGACGACCACCCGGGGATTCACAGCCTTCCTTTGTTTCCATTTCTCTTTCTCCTTGACATGGGGGGCTGCTGCAGCATAGATGCCAATTTTGGATCAAGGAATGTTGAAGACGATGATCCAGAAGAGAGGGATTATGATGGTGAGGAGGATCAGGACGATACCAGAATCGGCGATGGTGGGGCCATTGTCCGGGTAAAGGGATCTACTTGGTTCACATCGATGTATTCCAGACAAGGCAAGAAAGGGATCAACCAAGATTCCCTCACTGTTTGGGAGGTAGTAATAATTTCCCTCTTATTTACATATTATCTATTCAAACATTTTGTGTCATTGGAATTTGGTGACAACTTGTTGATTTTTAATGGAATCATGAACAAATGATTTCTTATGTATGTGAATTTTGGGTGTTTTTACTTCTACCAAAGAGAATTGGGGTGTTTTTTTTCATTTTTTTTTTATCATCAATTATATATGGTGATCTATCTCTTTTGTTTTCAATTTTGTAGTTGTGTATAATTTCTGCCCAATGCTAATGAAATTTGTAATGAATTTTTGTCTTTTTCGTATGATTTGATTCAATTATGTCTTAGGGTTTCAAATTGACCTTGTTGTTGTTGTGCATTTGAATAAAACCATTTATACAAATCTCTTTTCCTCAACAATGCTGGTTTGGAAACCAAATTTCCGAACTGTAGCGTGAATTGTTGTTAACCTCAAATGGGGAAGGGAAGATGGAAATAAAACCTGCATATCATTTTTACCCTTTTATAGGATCCAATAACTGAATTTTCTATATGCATTTGTTTCATTTCTGGAATGAATGGTTCCAACTCATAGAACTGAACGTTTAAGCTTCGATGCAGAACTTCACCGGGGAGAAACAGATGTTTTTTTGCGGTGTGTTTGATGGCCACGGTCCCTCAGGTCACAAGGTTGCACGTTATGTACGTGACAATTTACCTTTGAAGATCTCTAGAGTAATCAAGCATTCAAAAGCCAGCAAATACAACAATGCTAGAGAAAATTTTGGTAATAGTAGTGACACAAAAGAGAGTGAAGGGGATTTTTATCGTCAAAATCCATTCTTTACCTTGTGGGAGAACAATTTAACACAAGCCTTTGAGGAATTGGACGAAGAACTTTGCCTTGACTATTCTCTTGACAGTTATTGTAGTGGTACTACTGCTGTAACTGTCATTAAACAGGTAATATCAGTCGTTTCTTATATTAAAATGAAGCATTGTTTCGGTGCATGCTTATGAGAGAATGAAATGACATGTTGTTGAATCTTCTTGAATTTCAGGGTGAGAATTTGATAATCGCCAACTTGGGGGATTCCCGTGCGCTTCTTTGTACTAGGGGTGACAAAAGCCAACTAGTTCCCGTCCAACTTACAGTTGATTTGAAGCCTAGTTTACCAAGTTAGTCTTTGTCATGTCGCTGCAGTTGATCTCCTTAATTAGAGCTTACCTCGTTATTAGCAAGCCAATTAATATTTGCATTCCTTGTGTTTTTGTATTCCCTTCTCTTCTCTAGCTGAAGCTGAGAGAATCATGAATGCTGGGGGCAGGGTTTTTGCAATGGAAGAAGAACCAAGCGTGTTTAGAGTATGGATGCCCGAAGTAGATTGCCCTGGTTTAGCCATGGCGAGGGCTTTAGGCGATTTCTGCCTTAAGGACTATGGCCTCATCAACAGTCCTGAAGTTTATTTTAGAAAGATTACAAGCAAAGATGAATTCGTAGTTCTGGCTACAGATGGGGTAAGGAAAAACCACCATTTGAAAAATGCCCTGTTGGTCTTCTAGAAAAACAGGACAACATGCAAACCTTAATGTGTTGTTCAGAATTTTGGCTCTACGGAAACTAATTGCTTACAATGTTAAATTTTGCAGATATGGGACGTGCTAACGAACAACGAGGTAATCAGGATAGTTGCTTCTGTGAAGAACCGAGGCATGGCAGCTAAAATTCTAGTTTATTATGCTGTCCGGGCATGGAGAACCAAGTATCCAGGATCCAAGGTAGATGATTGTGCAGTCGTAATCTTGTTCTTCAAGAAAAGACCATTGGTAGCCAAATCCAAGTCTGCCTTAAGCCAGAGCGGTATAAGTCACCAGAGTCTGGATTCTTCAGTCCCTCAAGGCTCAGGAGATAAGAAGTGTGATGAAGGTGAAACAGTTATAAATTGCCAGATTGATTCAGATGACATTGACAAATTAAACAAAGTAAACTCTTTAGCAAAGGTTCCTCAGCTTGGCCATTTGAGTCGGAGGAAAACAATGAAGGATGTTGAACTTGAAAAGGCTCAATCATGATCCTCTCGGTCATTTTATCTTTTCATTAAAATCTGAAAATGAGGGGCTATTTTTCAAGACATTTGGGTCGTTGAAAGAGGTACAGGTGCAAATTTGTGGGGGGAGAGGAAAAAAAAAGAGTTAATTCATATTCTCTTTGGCTTTTGATTTGTAAGTATGGCCTAAACTTAATGTTGAAGGTCTGAACATGATATGAATGTGGTAATATCATCTGACTATACACCAGCTGGGTGTTCAAGTTTTGTCCTGGCGGCTTGATGCCATTGAAGTACTATTTTTTACTAGCAGCTTGTTAAGTCCTCCTTGGAGGACAATCTTTTTGGTTTTTACTACATGTTTCCAAATTCGTGTAAGTACTTTTATTGTCAACTAATCCCTCAGTCCCATAAGGACTGTCTTATTTTGATAATGCACATGGATTAAAAGTTTTAAATTTGCAATTATTATTGTGAGTAATTTATATTTCTTTTCATTTTTACTTTTAAGATATTAATGTTTATTAATCAAATTTTTAAAAAATATAAAGAAAAACACTCTAAAATTGTATTGTTTTAATAAAATATTATGAGAAAAAACTAAAACTAAAATAGTATTATTCTTATTTTAAAAATCTGTTATTTTAATTTTTTTTAAAAATTATTAAAATAATTTAGTTTGGAAATATTTTTACTCTTAAATCATACAAATAAACATTTTTTCTTTACTTTTAATTAGTTATTATTGAGAAAAATAAGTTCCCTCATTCAAAGCGAGTGAAAATTAATGAACTTTGAGGATGTAAAAATGACTATTTAATATTAAAAAGAAAAAAGAAAGAAAGAAAAAAAAAAAGAATGGGAAGAAGAAGAAGAAGAAGAAGAAGAAAGAGTCCTGAAAATGTGGAAAGGACAGCTACTTTGAGACAAAATGAGACATTATTATTCGGAGGGAGTACACAACACGACCGTCAAAGTATTTTGGGTTAAGGCCAGAAATACCCTAGTTGATCATAGCCATCAGGTCAAATAAAGGCAACAAAAGAAATGAGAAAGAGGCCGCTTATTTCTCTTGTCCATAACCGTAGTTGAAACATCACCAACCAAATCCTTTCCAGACTCTCTGTGAAGGATATCCTGAAATTATTGTTTACTTCTTTTTCTCCTCTTTTTCTTTTTTTCTTTCTTTTCTTTTCGTTTCTTTTTTCTTTCAATAATTTGGATTCATCAATCAATCCTTTCTTCCTCTTCTGATTAGCAAATCCTTTATTCCACTTTCTCCCTCCTCCAACAATGGACGTTGCCTACACCTCTTCCTCATATAATGCGCCAGACATAATAATGCTCACCACATCCATCAGTGCCACCGACACATTCCCATTGGGGTTACGTTGGAGGAATGTCTCTGCCGTCTGCATTTCCCATAAAGCCCTCCATGGCAAAGGGATCTGAGCAACAGAGACAGCAATCTCAACAGAGTAGTCTTCT